GTCGTCCCAGCCGAAACACTGCTTCATTTCATCGAGGAAGGCCCGGTAATCCCCTAGGATAGGGCTATCCATTTCGATGTAGGGGACAATCCACTCTTCTGCTTCCCCGGTGAGAAGGCTGATTAAGAAGGCCACCTTCATGGCGTCGTTGCAGAATCGGTTCTCGTTGACGAGCATGTAGGACGTCGTCTGCACGATAAACTCGGGGAGCCGGGCGCTCTCGCCGCTAAACGTCTCCGGGAAGGGCACTGGGCAGCTGGGCGGACGTACCTGGCGCAGCAGGCTGGCTCTCTCGCACACCAGCAGCCGCAGCTGCTCCATCAGCTGGCTGTTCTCGATGCTCAGGGTCCGGTGCCGCACCAGCAGTGCGTGCAGAAGCAGCACCAGCTCGTCCACCATGGCGAACGACTCGCAAGGGCTCGGCGGGCTCTGCTCGGCCACGGGCTCCGTGGAGGCCTCTCAGGAAGTGCGTGTCCGCGGCGGCGCGCGCGGGCGGCGCAGGGTGGCGCGCGCGGGGAGGGGCGGGGATGGCGCACCGGGGGCTCGCGACTGCTCAGACTCCGCCCAGTGGTCACTAGGGCAGCCGGCGCGCCGCGATGCTGGGGGCGTGGCCATAGGCGGGGTGAGCGAGGCCTGGGGACCCAGTCTGGGGGCGAGTCTGTGGTGGGGCACGCAAGGCCGCGAGGCGTGGCCAGGGAAGGGGCTGGGAGGGTCGCGACCTAGCGGGCCGCCTCATGAAGGGTGATCTAGGAAGGTAGAGACCTTGGCCGGGCTTTGGGTGCAGGACAGTATTAGTCGAGGGCCCAGCAGGCGCCACGACCCAGCTCTCAGAGAAAGGCAGCTTGCTCAAGTTTAAAGGATTAACAACCCCACCACTACCGCCTCACCCCACTACCACCTCACCACACACAATCACAATTCAGTGTACCCTTTGTACGTCTGCAGCCACCAGATTTCATGGGCATGAATATCACGTATCCGAAGAACTAGCTACAGAAGTGTGTGCCTTGTGGGAGTCACATTCTTTCAGAAAAATACACACCCTCAAAGGGTCATGTCTCTCATGACAAAACAATATTAAAACGGAATTTTCTTTACCTGAGAAATATTGTATAACTCGTTTTATTGTTCTAAATATCGCATATGAAAAGTTCTGCAAAATCAGAACCTGATAACCCTTTGCAAGGAGCTAAGTAGCATAGTGCCTGTGGCATTTGACTGCTAAGCAGAAGGCTGATAACCCTTGACAGGTGTTCTGCCTGGGCCTCTAGTTCATGTCTTAGTGTTAATGTCCCTTAGCCATTAATTATTATTATTATTCTTTGCTTAACAAGACGTTTGTGTTCCACTTTGTGATTATTCCAACAGGTGTTGAGCAACTAACTTGGCCCAGGACTTCAGAGTCATCGTTTCCTTTGGCTCTGCTTTTAAAATACATCCTCAATTCAATCAGTTCTTGTCACTTCTACCACTGCCACCCTGGTCTAAGTCTTCGTTTTGCACCCATACTTCCACATGCAATCTCTTCGGTTTCACTCTTGCCCTCCTACAGTATATTCCCCACAGACTACACACAAGAATCCTTTAAAGCCAAAGTGGCAGGTCACTACAAAAACCAGTTACTGTTGTGTCAATCCAGACGCACGGCCCCATGGGTGTCAGAGTAGACGTGGGCTCCATGAGGTCTTCGAGGGCTGCTTTTTTGGAAGTGGGTCACCCGGCCTTTCTTCTGCAGTGTCTCTGGGTAGACGCGAACCTACCTCTAACTTTTGGTTAGTAGCCAAGTGCATTTATCATTTGCACCACCCATGAAGACTCATTTGCTGTGGTTTCTTATAAAGTGAAACACATACAGTAAAATCTGCAAAAGCCAGAACCTGTATAAGGGGAAACCTGTCGGATAAGGAAAACTCAAATATTTTTTTACTAACAGAGCAATAGAAAAGTAGTAAGACTGCACCTTGTCAAAGACAAAAAAGCTTGTGAGATCCCAAAAATCAAGGCAGTCCCACCAAGTTCCAGCTCTCACCTCTATCACTTTATCTACCTTGAAAAAAAAAAAAAAAAACTTATTGCCCTCGAGTTGATTCCAGCTCATAGTTACAGATTACCCGGTGAGCAAGGTAAGCATGAGCTTATTACTTATGCTTCTTACTAATCTGTAGTGAGCAATTTCACATGAACCATTTCACCAGGTTTTGGAGGATGCAGTGAAGCATGTGAGGCTGTTCACTACGAATTAGTAAGTGCGCAGAAGCAAGCATGTGTTTACCGAGCTTACTGGGT